AGAGAGAGAGAGATGACTCTTGTATTTCTTTTCCTTTGCTTCTGCATGCTATTAAAAACTTTGAAAGATGAGAGCAGAATGTGGCTTTTTTTTTTTTTTTTAGCTCAACGGTCTCAACCCCTAAAGTCCACCAGCAGTGCTGGCACGAGCAGACACCACTAGTGCTATTGGGGGGAGGCACCTGATGGAAACTGGGTCCAGCGTCCCATGTACAAAGAATATGCATAGAGACTAAGAAAAAACCTGATAAAAACCGCCAGCATTGATTGCCCAGGGGCTACTGGGGATTGACTGTGCAGGGAAATCCTGACATTTTTAAGCTGAAACGTGCGTGGAGAGGGGGAGGAGGGCAGTGATCCCCCCAGGGGGAATTTCTATCATTAGAATCATTCAATTTTCCTGTATTGAAGGTGAGGAGAGAAAAGGGTTAAACCACCACTACCTCCGAGTCTCTTGTTGCCAAGGCGGAGTACAATTGCACGCCAGGCTTTTGCCAAAACGCCAACGCGACCTTTTTTGTTTTGTTTTGTTTTGGCTGGCGCCACCAGCCTTTTTGGTCCAGTGGCATCAGGCCTCTGCCAGCCTCCAAAGAATGCGGTATATAGGTCATATTTACGACTTCGGTTCAAAGCTGACAAAAATCGAGCTCATGTGAAGAAGCAACAGAAAGAAAAGAGCGCACTAGCTCTGTTCGATGGTCAGATAAATTCTCTGATAAGTTGGATGCCTTGCTGCATCTGTTTTACCAGAGAATTTACATGACGTTTAAACAAAGTTCATGCACAAAAGTCCACACTTGAACGTACACCAGGAGGCAGAGGTTGTGCCCACGCGTGCTGCATCTGTTTTTTCTCTGTTTTCTTTTTTCTTTTTCTTTTTCTTTTTCTTTTTTTTTTTGTGCAAAGGGCAACGGCCTTGAAATATTATCAGTGAACTGACCCAGACCCAGGTTATTCATAATTATTTCATTCTGGTCATCCGATTCCATCTGGATTCGAACTTGGGTCTGTATTCCAACATTTCATGGGTGTACCAACTGAGCTAGCCCCTTTGGTTGCTGGTTGCTGCTTCTGTCAACTGAGCTAGCCCCTTTGGTTGCTGGTTCTGTTTTTTACCAGAGAACTTATCTGACCTTTGAACAAAGTTCATGCAAAGTGCACATTTGAACTTGCACCTGCGGGCAGAGGTGGTGCCCATGCTTGGAACAGGCTAGGTCCATATGGGTGGAGCTTGCTAGACGGTAAATCTGAGACTGATGAAGGAAGGCTTTCTTCCTTTGGGAGCCGCAAACTCTGATGAGCCGTTTCTCAAAGGAGTCAATAGGTGTCCTGCTGGATGTTTTTTTCTCTGCTCGTTTCTACGCTTCTTAGAAAGATTGGTTTCTTATCAATGCTCCTCACATCTCCCTCTTTTAAAAGGGGTGGGGGTGGGGAAGGGAGGGAGGGGGGGGGGAGTTGTAGAAGGAAGGGATTTGTTTCTGTTTCTTGTATGGTTGCTCTTCAGGGCTGCTCTTCTTGCAGCCTTCCCAGTCTCTCCTTGGTCTTTTCCCATTTTGCTGCCTGCACCTAATGTTCGTGCTCCTTTAATGCCAGGTTTTACGGAATGTAGAAGCACACGGCGTGAAGGCACTCAGTGACCGCGACCGGCGCAAGTATGTGCCACCACTTGGCGGAGGTGGAGTGGTTGTACCAGGATGGGAGAGGAGTTCCTCTCTCCAAGAGAAGCTGCTGCCATACAAAGCGAGCTTGCCACGGGGCCCAGGACCGTCGAAGTTTGCCCAAGCGCGGTTGCTTGTGGACCACACAATGGCCATGACCATTGTCGAAGTGCTGGCCGACGCCAAACAGCAGGGCATAGTTGTGGCGATCACCGGGGCATCCCATGTTCAGTTTGGAGCAAAAGGGAGGGCAATACCGATGCGTGTTGCTCAGAAGATGAAGGGAATTTCTCAGGTAAATAGCTGGCCGATGATTCATCAGACGGGATTCTGCCAACTCCCACAACAAACATACCATGTGTCCGTTGTTGTTTTGTCCGGGAAATTGTCCCATGATTTCTTCAGGGAATAAATAAAGTGGAATGGGAGAGGAGCGCAGGCAGCAATGATGCAAAAAAAAAACAGAACAGCTGCAAAAAACACTTATAATAGCCTCATATCTCCTTTTTTTCGTTTGCTTGCATGGATTCAGCTGCAAAAAAAAGAGAGCGCACATTGCAAGACCTTGTGTAGCCAGAACATATTGCATGCCATTGGGGTAGTTTTGTGTGGGAGTTCAGATATCCAGGCAGGACAAGACTGTTTATTTTTGTCGATTGCACTCTGTCCAAGTTTTTCATGACTACATCTTTGTTTCTTAACATTTCTTTTCACAAATACTTACTTCAGCTTTCTTTCTTTTCTCTCTTGCCCTTGTACTCTATGCCCAGGTGGTTGTGATGCTTAACCCTGAAAGGCAGAGGAGCCGTGTAGAGGGAGAGTTACCCGAAGCGGATTTCCTATGGTAAATGATATGCTCCTCATGGACCTTTTCTCTTGCTGAACCCCACCCCCCTTCACTCATCTCCTGTCTTAAATAAATAAATTAATAAAAAAAAAAACATGGCTTATCATCCTGGTTCCGATCTATTCCGGGGAGCAGCAGCCCGTTTCCTTAAAGCACTGGAAAGTTCAAAACGTACATGAATGCACACTCCACGCTTCCCCTTGACACACTTGTTACGGCCAAGGGAAAGCCCTGCAGCATTGATTGCTCTCATTGAGAGGATTAAGCGACGGGACTTCCCATACAGATGTTCAGAAGCCCCCTCTACCAGTTGCTACCCGTGACTAAATAAAAAAACTGAAAGACAACATAGTCCCATTCCCCTCAGGCTTATACAATAGCTGCCTGGAATAGAGCTCAAGAAACAAGAACAAAACTTCCCCTACCCTCTTGATAGACTTGTCGGGGAAGTCCCCGTTAACCATGTGTGCTTGTTGCTGAGTGGTACACACATTTTTCTTTCGGTAACCATGTCAAGAGTTCAAACCCTGATGGACGCAATAATGTTAGGGGATGAAATTAAGGAGAAGTATTGGACCAGCGGGCCCCGGCAGAAAATTTGAGATCCACATTTGTTAACAGAGGCAGTCAGCTGCTCTGTTCGTTCTTCATTGTTGCAGGTATTCTGCTGCAAAACAGTGTAATCGCAATTGTTTCGACCGCGCGGAGGTTGCTCGCGTGATGGGAGCAGCAGGCTTTACTAGGGACTCTCTTCCACAGGACTTACAGGTCTGTAATCTCTACATCAACTCCCTCTTTTTACTGCATGTTCATTGCTGTACTCTCTGTTTTTCCCTTGCCCTTCCTCCCTTCCTTTCCCCCCTCGCCCTCCTCTCCCTCCCCTCTTGGCCTTTTCCCTGATCCTCATGCGTCTTCCCCCCCCTCTGCTTCTCTCTCTTCATGCCCCTCTTCCACTTATCTCCTCACGCCCCTCTTTCCCATCTCTCTCCAGCGCCTCCTGTGTGTTTCGAACTCTACGGCGCTCACTCCCTCTACGATGAAGTTAGTGATCTTGACTTAGTCACTTAGGATGCTATCAGCTTAGACTCTCCCATGTTTTCTTGCTGACTATTTCAAATCATGTGGCTGGTTGTGCAGGCTGGTCTCGATCAAGGTCTTGTTGCTCCTGACGTGTTGAAGGTGAGTCATTTCATTCTGAGATTTCGTGTTTCCACAACTTCCCAGTGTATTGTTTCATATTTCCCAGTTCCATTCTCTGATCTGTCACACTACGGGTCACAATGGCAGATTATTATATCCCTGAATCGATTGCTCGAGTTGCCCCTTCATCATGTCGCTTACTTCTCCAGTCCAACAAGTACATGCCATACATAGGCTATGCACAATGTGAAAAGATGGTAATGCAAACAGTAAATACAAATCAAGATTGAGTTTGCAGTCATCGTTTTACCCCGTTACCCGTTTGCATGCTCCCTTTTTACCTCTTTATCGAACAACATGGAGGTGGCTTTTTAAGCAGCTCTCCATGAGCTCCCCACCCCACCTTCCCCTCTTTGCGCGCACCCCCCCGCCTACTTCAACCGAGCTCACTTAAAACAGTGCTTTGTCGAGCTTTGCCGATTGGCAGGTTCCTGGAGCTCCTGTTGATTCCGGTTGGTGCTGCTCTACCGTCTTCACCCGAATAGAACGCCTGGTCATTTTAGCTGTATTTGGCACAACTTTCGGTCCAGATGCAGCGATAATGACTGGGCATTCTATCTGGGTGAATACGGTAGGTACGAGTTACTAATTGCCATTGGATACCACCAATCAGATGTGCTGTCTGTTGGGGCTCCCACTACTTGAGGGAGTGCATACACAGAGAAAAAACTTTGAGAAGGGCCGCAGGGCAACTCATCCTATCCACCATTGAGCGTGTGCTGAGTCTGTGAACCCAGTGAGACTTCGGGTTGGTATCTGAAGTATACAGCCTTGCCCTCCTGCTTGTGTTGAATCGAGTGAATGAGATGTAGAGACGGCACCATAGCAGACACTCATTGAAATCAATGGCTTCTCTGTGCAGACATTTTCTGAGCTGGATCAACACCCTTGGATCTCGATGTTTGCCAGACGATTTCAGGGTTTGAGGGAGAGATGGTGAGTGTTCACACCCATGCATACCCCTCTTCTTGCCTCCACACCTTCGGCTGACAGCCTCTCCTACTTCTGAGAACATCTCTGGAAAGCAAGCTCTCTAGAAGCACAAAACTGTGCAAAAGATGATGTTGTCGTGTGTGTGTGTGTGTGTGTGTGTGTGTGTGTGTGTGTGTGTGTGTGTGTGTGTGTGTGTGTGTGCTGTGCGTGTATGTGTATAACCTTCTGGCATTGTTGATGTTGTTCAGTCCTGCACATTTGTAAACAGCCAGGCCCCACTCTTTTCATAGTTGTATGAACTTTTTATCTATTAAATCTCTGTAGATTATGTACTCATGCTACGATTGTGTGTCTGTCTGTCCCTCTTCTTCTTCTTCTTCCTCTTCTTCTTCTTCTTCTTCTTCTTCTTCTTCTTCTTCTTCTTCCTTTTGTTCAACCCTTTGACCCTTACTTCCCACTCTAGGGCCAGTAAAAAGAACAAATTAAGATTTTTTTCTTCTATATTGTACACCGTTAAGTCAGTTAGGGTCATGCCCGGCCGGTCACCCGGTTGCCAAACTGGGCGTGACATCGGGCCCCGGGCGCCCGGGATATCTCCCTAGTCTTTTTCCCCTTTTTTCAGGTAATCTGACCCCCGAATTTTTCAGATGAGGTCGTTTTACCAAATGGGACTACACCTGTGAAAGGTAGTGGTTGAACTTAATAACGTCAAAACTCAAAAGTAGTGGCATTTCACTTGCCCTGTAAAGCTCCCACTTGTTGTACACCTCTCAAGTCATTTCACAGAGTCAATCTAGAGTCGAGCTCGACAAGCTCTTTGTTGCCTGCTGATTTTTCCAAGCATGTTCCTTGGCTGGGGTCTTGGCAAGATGGTAGATAGGGACCGTGGGAAACTAGTTAATGGATTGTGTGGCTGCTGCTTTCCTTGGAAATTATTGGAGGTTGTAAGTGTCAAACCCGGGTTTGAACCAGCGTTCAAATTCCTTGGAAATTATTGGAGCCTTTGTGCATCCCTCAACATGACCTGCGACTCGGTAGACATGTATAATGGTACTATAACCTGATCACACCTAAGAACCCCATGATTAGGGTAGGGTCCCCAACTCCCCGTGCATGCACACAGTTTTTGTTGTTTGGCTCTTTCTTTTTTAAGCCTTGGTTTTAGCGCGTGGGTGTCTGTGCTTGTTGTGTTTTAGGGTCTCGCTCCACTACTGCCCACTGTACAATTTTTCGGACAGTTGGTGGACAGTTGTCAGAGCGAAAAATTGTACAGCGGACAGTGGAAAATGCGACATTGCTCCACTTACTGTCCGCTGTCCACCTCTCAAATTCGTGGCTTCACTACCAGACACAGTGATAGCACTAGAAGACAGGACGTCCATAGGGTTTTGTCCGCCCAAACTCCAGGTGCACTCTCCAAATTGGGGTCCTCACGGTGAGTCCCTTGAAGGACTTTCCGCGTAATGAATTTTGCAGGCTGGGAGCTGTACATTCACGGACAGTAGATTTTCGACGGGGTTTCTAAAAACTGTCCAAGCCATTTTGCACATGTACAGTGGACAGTAAGTGGAGCGAAGTACGACTGTCCGTTTTTGTACAGTGGACAGTAGTGGAGCGAGACCCTTAATATTATTACAACAAGAGAAGAGATAGGGTCATGCTCCGCTACTCTCAAGTCTCGAGTCTTGAAGATTTTCGCGAGTCCTACTATCAGACTCTCAAAAACAAAAAAATTGGGGTCCCAAATCCACTTACTCTCCTAAGTCGGTCTCTCTATTCCTCTGAGTGAAAAGCCAGCAGAAGATGACGAAGAAAAATATGACGGTCAAGTCTTACTCAAGGTCTACTTCCCATTGCTCCCAAATATTGAGGTCTTTGAGAGCAGCCCACACAGGTCTCTCACGGTTACAGGCAGGGGATTCTCCAACTTTGGAGAGTACTCTCGAAAGGCCGATTCTGATGACTCTGGAACTTTTTCGTGCACATCTTTTTCGAGAGGAAGTGGAGCGACGTTGAACTCTCGAAAAAAGGTATCTCGAGAGTAGTGGAGCAAGAGGCTGCAAGACCCATAGCAGCCTTATGGCAACGACTCCTTTGCATTCTGGGGAGTAACTCGGATTCCTTTTACGGCCAGCAAGTCACAAGTATGTGAACAAGTTCAGCAACTTTTCTTCTTTTTTTGATTTTTTTCTTAAAAAAATTGGACCATGTCTCGATTTATGCGTGTCGTCCTTGCGCAGGAGCCATGCTAATCTTCATTCTCTGTATCACTCCAATTTTAACGGATGTATCGAAAGACGTTGTTCAGCAACGTTTCTGGCACCGGAGGACGCGACAAATTTTTCTTTTTGATCACAGACCCTCGTCCCTGTTCTTGAATTTATGTGTTCACCGTTCGGAAATTCAGAAATTTGTGAAGCTCAGACAGATCAGTATGAATACAAACTGTGAGAGTATGGTCCTTCGATCCTTCAGCGATTCAGGACTTGAAGCTAGAGGTGTCAGAATTTCAGAAATGTTACCACAGAGATAACAGGCTTGTGACAACCCAGCAGCGTTCATAGCGATGTTGCTTTTTTTAATCCTGTGATGTTGACTCCTGCTATCGTTGTGAAGCAGAATTAACCAATAAAAAGAGAAGTTAAAAAAAAAAAAAAAAAAAAAGTTTTTCTGCTATTGGAAAAGACCCACTTGCTGCTGAGATCCACCCACTTCATTTTGTGGTGCTATCTAATCTGCTGCTGCGCGCTGTGTCTCTTCAGGCTTGCAGACCCACGATTCCTACAAAGGCTTGCAATCGAGGAGGCTATATCAATCAGCACGACACTGGCAGCACAGTATGAGAAGAGGCGAGAGCGGTTCTGGAGTGAGTGCTTTTCCAACCAACCTGGCCTTTTTTTCCTTTTTTTTTTTTTTGTCCCCAAACTTGTCACACACAGTGTATGGGAGTTGGCCGACGGCAGCAACTCGCCAGTGGAAAGCTTCCGGAAAAGTCACTCAGTGTTCTGATTTCAACGATTTGCCAATTTCGATGCAAATGTCAGGAGGTTGAAAATGCTGGTTTGTGAACACTGAACACTACAAGATCACATTATTAACTTACATTAAGTTACATTTAAAAATTAAAAAAAAAAGGTTACATATATAACGGTAGTGTCTAGGGTGAAATGGACAAGTTGACACTAGGACACAGACAGCGCACTGATCACAGGTGCAGGAACTACATAGGCTACCGTCTTCACCCGAATAGAACACCCGGTCATTATAGCCATATCTGGGGCAGTTCTGTCTAGATGCAGCGATAATGACCGGGCGTTCTATTCGGGTGAAGACGGTAGGTGACTATGATTAGATACTAGTCTGAACAATTGATATGCGGCCTGAGGGACTGCCAGGAAAACACCCTCCACCCCCCCAGGCACCCCCTCCTGAGGATTACCCTGCAGGAGCGTGCCTGGGTGCTGCCAGTAAGCTTCCCGACTTGCAGGTTAATCCCTGAGGAAGGGTTGGAGGTTGGGAGTGGGTTGAGCCGAATCAGCGCCCCCTTGCTTAGGCGGCTCGAGCCACAAGGGTAGGCTGACAAACTAGCACAAATATTGGACAAATTCTGCACAAAATTAGCACAAATATTGCACAAGTTTTCCGGTTTATCCCCAGTGTCTTGTGACGTTGCTTTTGCCACAACCCCCTTGTCTCCTCTTCTCCTTCTCTATACTGTTGCCTCTCTTTGTTTTTAATAATCGTTCTCTGACGGACAGTCTATGGAGCAGATGGGAAGAAAGGAAAAGAAGAAATAGTACCCAAATAAGGTGGGATGGAGTTGCTGGATTATTGACATTTTGTTGCCCCTTGTTTGCTGTCAACTTATACATGTTTTGCAGGTGAGCTGGAGTATGTGTTCACTGATGTCACACGTGGTGCTCTCGTGGATTTCTTCACTGTATGGCTTCCAGCGCCAACTCTGTCTTTCCGTTCAGTCATTGCGCCACCAGCAGATGGTCAGTTGCTGTGCCCAATCTAGCATTTTACAGAGTCGAATTGAAATTTGAAATTTCCACCAAAAAGTGATCAGAAGCTCGACAGTCATTTTACTCCATGGCTGTGTGCTGCATTGTATATCGCAGCGCACAACTGTTCTCCCTCCCTCCCTGCTCTCTCCTCCTCCGTCATCTCCTGCAGCCAACCACAACTGTCTGATTTAGTACCTTTTTGACCCACCTGTCTTTCTCCATCAGAGAAATTGGCTAGGAGGTTTCCCTCCCTCCTCCCTCCTCCCTCCTGTCTCCTCCCTGCGGTCCCACCTCTTCCTCTCGTTTTCCTCCCCTCTCATCTGTCTCATTTCAACTCCCAAACTTAACTGCTCCACCATTCCCCCTTCTGTGCCCTTTAACCCCTTCTCACTCCCCCCCCCCAACTTATTTTTCATCTCTGTCAATGCTAGACCATTTCATAGTGCATATTCATTGTACTTGCACATAACTCATACTAATTTTCTGTGCTGTTGCAGTGTGAATGGATGGCACCCAAAACTTGTTCTGAGAACTTCTGACCTTTGCTCTCCTGTTCATGTTATGGTCTTTTGCCTCCGTGTGTTGTGTTGTGTGTTCTGTGTTGTGTGTATGTGTATGTGTGTGAGTGTGTGCATTTTACAGCTGGAGGGAATGGTCTATTAGGCCTTTCAGCATTGCTGGGTTCGCTTCCAGATAATGCATTTCAGAGAGGCAGGCCGGGAGAGAACATCACTGTACTGCAGCGTGTGCTCGCCGTGGTGGTCGGTGGAGGCAAGCTCTTTGGTGTTGGCCTGGTGGCTAGTATGGGAACGCTCAGCCTCACTAATGCCTACATGAATTTCCGTCAAAAGATGAAGCCTCAGGTTTGGCTGCGTGCACCCGCTTGAATCCCTTCGGAGTTATATATTGTTAGTGTCACTTAGTGACATGAAAGGCATTGGAGCGCACACTAGTAAAAAGTGAACACCGAACATAGAAGGTTCGCACTAACCAGTGTGGTGTGTCTTTGTGAATGGCTACTTTTTTCTGTGGTAAATGTAAGATCCTGGAGTATTACTCTCTCTCTCTCTCTCTCTCTCTCTCTCTCTCTCTCTCTCTCTCTCTCTCTCTCTCTCTCTCTCTCTCTCTCTCTCTTGCTTTTTTTCCTGTTCTTTCGGGTAGAAACGATTTTCAGAGAAGAAAAGAACAAACGCTGCGATGACATTTTTCCTTTCCTCTGAGTCGTGGAGTTGAGAGGAGAGGTCATGTGTCGGTGTTCTTTTAAGAATAAGCACAACTGTGCTTCGTTGTCCATGAAGAGACTAAGAGGTTGGAACCGTGCCACCGACTGTTAATATTGGTAGTTCCTTGTTCAAGGCAGGTTTTGATAACTGCATTGGATAGCCTAACAGCCTAACACAGCTAATTTTCGAAGATCACTTCCCAACTGTGCCTACCTGGCGGCCGGAAGGTACACACTGAGTAGTATTGATTCAGAGGTTAAGAGTTCAAACTTGCAACCGTCGTCTGATTCTGGGATTTTTGCAGATATCCTAGTCCAATTAATGGAGAAGAAGAAGAAGAAGAAGAAGCAAAGTCTAGATAGTAATAAGGTAGTTAGTAGTTACTCATTACAATGGTAATAACAATTCAAAAAACTTATAAATAGTGAATACAACAACAGTAACAGTAATAATAATAAAAAATAGTAACAATAATAACAATTCAAAAAACTGATAAATACAACAACAGTAACAGTAATAATAATAAAAAAAAAATAGTAACAAGTTAACAACTTAACAACCATAAATTAATGATGTAATATACTAATGATGGTACTATGATAGTAATATATTATGAGGTATAAGAGCTCCAGATTCTGCTAATGCATTCTGTGGACTCGGTGCTTGAAATAAAGGAACTGTGGATGGAAGGTTCACATGTACTTCTCCAACCCATGGGCGTTCAGATGACGCCACGTATTGCTTCCTCAACCTTGAGAGTCCTTTGCAGATTTGAGCCAAAACTCGACCCTACAACAATCGCACTGTGCTTGGACACCAAACATGGTCATATAAATATATAAGCCAAGGCCCTGGACAAAAACATACGACAATTGTCACCCATGCTCCTGTGGGAAGAAAAAAACATGTCAAGTTGTCAACACCAAAAAAGAGACCGTTAACGTGGTTACGGGAATGGAAACTCTCTATTGCACGTGTAGCGGAAATTCGCCATCGCAGAATTTTGTGTGCACTGTGCAGTGATTGTGTTTAGGATTTCGCTGAAGGTGGGCCATTTTGCGAGGAATCAGACCCCTCAACAGGTTGAAAAACATGTGGGGGTTCGGGCCGCCTTAAGTGAAGGCAGGGGCCTGATTTTCTGCACGCCGGCCCTCAGCAGAACCGAACCTCTGTAGCCAACTGTCGGGTTCAGAGCCTCAGTTGGTTACAGAGGCTTGGTACTGCCAATGCCCCAGTTGGTCTGAGGGAATGCCTACTGGGACAGGCGGAAGCCTGTCACGGCCTTTCTCATCCAGCACATAAGTCTGGGAGTCTGCAGTGAGCAGACATTTGGGCAGATGCTGCAAGCGTGAGCGCTGCTGCGTTAGAGGACGAAAGCAGTGCCTATGAGGAAGCTGCTGCGGGGGCGGCAGGGAGAAGGGTGCCTGTGATAACTGGCTGGGCGCGGCAGAGCTGAGTGGTGGAATTGTGGAGGTCGGGGTGGAAGGAAGGCAGTGGGGACCGGAATTGCTTACCTGGTGTTGACGAAGGGAACCTGTGTGAGCAGAGTCTTCAAGCATCATTGGCTGATTGACACGTGGACAGAGCTGGCATGTAGATAGGCTAGTCTGGTAGGAGCTAGGAAGTAGGAAGGGCGGTCATGCCGCCCCTAGGGCTACTACATTGTCATCGTTTTGATGATTGGCGGCGGAGGAAGGACTTCCTTTATTTTCAGACTTTGGTGTATTGATCGCTCCTATTTGGTGTGCATTTTGCTTCGGTTTTCTGCTTTCAATTTGGCTCCATCATGTCTGGTCTTCTCTTCTGTGCAATCTCGCTATCTCGTTTATTGCTGTTCTATTGCATGGTTACTTGCAATTGTGTGTGCAGAGATGACAATGGGTTCTGCATTTGTGAAACTGTGTGTGAGATGAGTGGTGTTCGCGCTGTATGCTTTGCGCTCTGGCTCTGAATTTCCGATCGGGAGTCGCAATGCCAACGCCCTCCTAAACTGTGGGTTCTAACTGTGACTATGCATTCGCGCTGGATGTTGTCATTGTGCATTGCAATTCCTGTCTATGCGAAGAAGAAGACCGCTTCCAGACGTTCCCCGCTGTTGAAGACAGGCCTTGTATATGCGCTCTTTCTTGCCACGTCATCGAACCTCAGATACCAGGTACTTAGATTTCCACTGCTCATTCACTTTTTTTTTTTTCTTCTCTATTTCCAGTTTTTTTAGTAAGTATTAAAATAACTTAACAATAACTGTTTAATTTAAGGATGTTGTCTCGACCGACCCTCGGGAGTGTGGTTCTGGCAAACAATGGGATTTTAATATCATTTTATCATTTTAATTTTGAAGTTTGAGCGCATGTGCTGATAGTTACCGCCTTTCTACCAACTGCCAACTGTGTGTCGGGCAGCGGATCCACTCACTATCCGGTTTGTCGGTCACCGTTTCCTTCCCTATGGGCTGGTTAACCCCCAAGGTTGCTGTGGTGGACTGCTATGGGCCGATTAACCCTCAAGGCTGGTGATTATGATCTTTCTATCCCAGAGAACAACAGCCTGGATGGAAGCCAGGTGGCACACAGCAGGGCGGGGGAATGGTGACCAATGCTCCGTCGGTTCCATATCAAGTTATCGACCTTGCTGGTGGCAATGGCTGCGGTTTAAGTTTTTGTTTTCTCAAATGGACTTAGTTAGGATCCTCTTGACCAGGTTCAATCTTCCAGTGTGAATGACACCATAGCGGAAGTATGCCACATCAGCCAGAAGCACAGATGGCATTTCGATATAGACGATGATGCCACTGCCGCAGCGATCCGTTACCCTGTCCTGGCGAATGAAGCTCTTTTTCGGCAATGCCGATCCCCCTTCCATCTACCATTGTCAGCACGGTGGCACTGCAGCCTTCCAGAACATTCCTACCTGTTAACTCCAACTCAGAAAACAGACCCAAACATATGGAACACAAAACCTAAACCATCGGCAGCCAATCGCTCGCACTGCCACCTCCATCTGATCTTCCTGCATGTTAGTTCAACTTGGTCTGGAAGATGCTTTGATGGTAGTTAATGATAGCATGCTTATCTGCGCACAATTTCAATTCTTTCTCAGTTGTTGTGGCAGTTTGCACATCGATTATGTTCGGCACTGCACACTTGTTGCTTTTCTCCGTTTCTTGTCTACACTTGAAAGGGTGCTCTGCAGCCCCATTGTCAAGCCATAGGCATGGCACGGTACAGCTCGCCTCCGTTGTGCTTGCGGCAGCTTTTGTTGGTTTTAATACTTTTTAATACTTTTTATGCTTTGCTTGCCTGTGCCTGAAAAATGGACAAATGTTGAACTACTAAGGAGAACTTCAGATCCGAAAGAACAAATGTATGTGACGCATTATGTCTCACAGACGACATATGAATGTCCAAAACTCATGAACAAAACGCTTGTGCATTTCCTAACCTCTCCATCTCGAACGTGAAGGGCAGCTTTCAGTCTAGAATCTAGAAACAGCGATAATGACCGGACGTTCTATTCGGGTGATTCAGACGGTAGTATAACCAAACTATCCCCGCAAGGCTGCCAAACAAATCGATATCACCATTGCGCCATACTGCTAGTGACCATCATCACCCGTTTGTCCAGTCTATCCAACAGCTTCGCACGCCATGATCCATGACAATTCACACTCGCTCCCATGCTCTGCTCGCTCCAGCTAGCCATCGGTTGTATATGAACCTGCAAAATCACACAACACTGACAACAGATGAAAAGAGGCCTTACCTCACGCATGTGACATGAGTTACATGTCAACCTTCTCGGGTAATGATCGCTCAAGTGCTCCCCACACGCTGCTTAAAAAAACTACTGACTGATGCTCCCCAGAATGGAAATGGAGCCAGGGCCATAAGGTCCTGTTTAAAAAAAAAAAAAAATCATTTAAAAATGTATTGTGCTGGTATTGCCTGTTTGCGGCAATAATCACAGCATGGTATGATCTTGCAGATTGTGCCTTCACAACGAGAACAAGAACAAAGAACTTGAAAGAAGTGCTTTTGCGCACCCTTTTTCAATTTTTCCTCCTTGCCTGCATGGCTGGGCGATTATTTCCTCTCTCTGTCATCATATACGGTAAACTGCATTGTTTGCCCTGTCGTTTCTGAAATTGGACATGACTCGATCCAGATTCACATACGCTATGCTGGGCGAACTAGCATCTCTCTCCACTGCATTACTGCTATATGTGGTTGTTTTGTTTTTCGAGCTTTCGTCGCCTTTTTTATTTTTTTTTTTCTAAACAAAAACATTTCATTAATAGATCGAAAAGCGAGGCCAGGGACCTGACAATTCGACCCGGAGGTATCCTGGCAGCATCAGCCAGTTTCGCTTATTTGATCACAATTGTCAATTTCTCTATTGACAACTTGAAGCAGTGGGCACCATGTAGACAGACTAGCTGAGCTGTCCTCGCAGCTCCATTATGCACTACGTACATTGCTCGTTCAACAATTTTTTTTGCCTGTTCTAAGCCTTCCTGGTCTCAATAGATTGTCTCCTTTCTGGGTTTTGCACATGCTTGCTCCCGCTCATGCTTTTCGTTTTCCCACGCTTGCTTTAGCTTGCTTGCTGTGCTTGTGCTTTTTTCATCTCCTTGCTCCCAATGTCGTTCTCACGACTCTCCCTCCTCTTCGTAGTTCCTATGCACTCCTATTCTTGCTCATTTCCTTGCTCGTAATCGTGTTCCCGTTTCTTCTTCCTCCTCTTCGTGTTCTTCTACTCCCTCTCTTCTGCAAGGAAAATAAGCAACAGCGAGATGACAATCCCAGATCACACCATCACATTGCAAGCCAAATAATCACACCGTGTCCAGATAGCAGCATTGCACCAATAATACACCAATGGAGTTTCGTAGCACTGAAAACCAATGTCCGTGGAGAGCACACTCTCTCCTCTCAACAAAAGAGTCCAGTTCCCTTACACTCACACTTGGTGCTCAGCGCCCAGCCTACTCCTACACAGCTACTACAGACTACAAAAAGACAATGCAACTGTTGACATCAGCAGCAGCCCGAAGTACTTGAAGATGCCACCCATGCAGACCATCCCCAATATAAGGTACGTGCCCTCACATCATCATCATCATCATCATCATCATCATCATCATCATCATCATCATCATCCTTCACCTATCCCCTGACTTCACCTACACCTGTCCTCTCTGTCACCCGAAGACCACCCCTGCGCTTCACTGTAGTCCAAGCCCACCAGCTATGGTGGCTGGGCTATGGCGCTGCCCTCAGCAGCGCCCTCCTCCTCTGCACGACCGCACGTGCTGCACCTCGCCTCTCAGCGCTAGCAGCAGCCTACGAGCATTAGCTCCAGCAGCGCTGCCGCCCAGCATGCGAGTGCCTGAATGAGGCAGCCAGGGCCGAGCTCTTTCCTTTATGGAAAAGAGTTGGCCTGCTCACGCAGCCTGGCTGCCTTGGCCTGGGCCCAGAAGCTTCCGGAAGGCCCCAGGAGGCTGCCTGGATGCAGCAGCTACTGGGCTGCTGGGCCTCGTTCGGTTGGGCGCCCAACGGTCTCTGTATGAGGCTGCGAATCACGGCCAGGGCCCGCATTCTTTGGAAAGGCCCAGTAGGCCGTGGAAATGTCCTTGTTGCTCGGCCTGTGTTTCTTTCAACCAACTGGCGCGTCGCAACTGCCTGAACCCCAAATATGAAATTGACAGTCAAAGGCCCTTTTGCAAAAGCCAGGCCCGCCTTCACTTAGAGCGGGCACCTCCGCCTTCACTTAGGGCGGGTAAGGCTGCAGACAGGGGCCCATAGGCCTACCGAGGACCCTGATCCTCGCACTTCACTTCCGATCCACATCGCCGCTCACTTCTGCGCCCACTTCCCGCGCTTGCATGTCGCCTGCCTACATGCTTTGCTTGATTTCCTCTGCTTGCGCTCTCGATCACTTATGCCTGCTTGCTTGCATATGCCTATCCTCTCTCGTATCAACACTTGCCCTCGCGTCACCGCAGTTAAATCAATTGAATAAAAAATATTTAAAAATTAAGAAACTGGGAAACTGAAGTTTATATTGGTCAACAATCAGTTGGTAACTTGGTAGACAAGGAGATATTTTATGATCTTGTCAGTTTTTTTTTAATGATATTTTGTCAGTTGTGTATGTAAGCATAAGTGTACGGTTTTTTTTTTAATGATATTTTGTCAGTGGTGCATGTAAGCAGAGTGTGTAGTTTGTTTTGTTTTGTTTTGTTTTTTTTTTTTTTTTTTTTTTTTTTTTTTTTTTTTTT